CTCCTATTTTCCCCACAACAACAACCCTGTGAGGCGAGTTTGGCTGAGAGCAACTGGCCCAAAGTCACCCAGCTGGCTTTCATGTTAAGGCAGGACTAGAACTCAGTCTTCTGGTTTCTAGACTGGTGCCTTAACCGCTAGACCAAACTGGCTCTACTTACTTACTTGAATTTATTTTCACTTAAAAAATAATAATTTTTGAAGTAAATGTTCAAAGCTTTGTCTTGAACCTTACTCCATAAACTCCAAATAACTCCTTAAGGTTATTTTATTAACACAATAAAATAGTACACACACATACACACAATATTATTTAAGACATCTGAGCCTAAAAAAATGGTTTCCCCTCTTTGTTGCAAGTCCCGCTTTTCACTAAAATGTGGCCTGGAGATGAAATATTAAAGCAGTTTTGTTGGGAAACATGTCAGTAATCTTGAGGTGGCCAAGAAAGCTTTTCTTACATAATCACTTCAAAGTATTCTGAAAGTATTGCAATTTACCTGCAGCCTGAGGCTTGCTTGCCAAGTGAAAATGTTGCTTTGTAGACTATACTGTCCAATTACAAAGGGGTTAAAATCTTGATAAAATTGTCTCGTGAAAAAAATTCTAGCTGCGTACAAAATTCTGCAATTTTACTTGGGAAAGAGTTGCCAAACTGTTGAGATTTTTTTAATATGAGTAGCAACACAAGAACCTAACTAGTTGCATTTTTGAAACCAGCAGAGCTTGTAAATCCTCAGAGCTGTTGAAGCTCAACAGAAGAAAGTAGAAACCCTTAATTCTTAGGAATTAAAAGGCTATTAAAGTGAGTACATCAATGATTTTTACAGCTCAGAAATATAGAGTGGCATGTTACTTCTGCTATAGTTCCCAAAAGAGAAACCGTAATCTCTATAGAATGCAATATATAGAATGTAATACTAGAAGTCCAATTCTTTTAGGCGTTTTGGACTACAGATGCTATAATTCCCAGCCAATATCCCTAAAGTTGTAGTCCAGCATATCTGGATAGCACCATCAGGTTGTGAAGGCTGGTATACAATATGACTAAAATACCAATTCATTAGAAATTCAGCCATTTGTATCAGCCCAGTCCAGACACTCTGCATCCATTTTGTATATTTTTCTCCTAGTCAGAGTTTCTATGTTATATGGAAGAAAAAGTGGAGAAACCTGAAAGCTCATAATTGGAAATTTGGAGGTGGTGTCATCTGGAACGCTGTTCCTGTAATATTCCATGAGGCAGAGCAGTTGCATGCTAAAACTTCATCTGTAGATGCCCTGAGATGTTAAGCTATACACATACTGATTTCAGTCACAGTAACCTCTGCAAATTTTGCAGTATATTTTGGTGCTTTGGACTTCATGTAAATTATACTTGTAATCCGTTACTCCAGTTCGGATACCAGTTTGCTACTGCAGGGAAAATATTCTGGACTGACTGTAATTTAACCAGTTGCTTTGAAGTGGCCAGGCTGAGTAATATTTCTCTTCTGCTATTCTGTGGCACAAAGAGATTTGGCTGTAAGTGTGTCTAGCTTGGCTTGTGAAGATTGTTGGCTTCATCTCAGAGTGATCCTGGCTAAATCATTCTCACTTGCCTATCTTGCTGCTCTAGCTGAAAACTCTTCAGAGTTTCATATAAAGCTGTTTCCTGATGAGAATGCTTCTGTTGCACTTTTTTCTATTGATCTACCTGTTATGTGATACTATCTTAGACCAGGATCTCAAATTCCCAGCCAGTTGATTTGTTCTTTGTAGCACTTCATAATACATGTTGTTCTCTTAATTCAAGTCTTAGGATTAGTTATCATAAAATACAATTTGCTCTCACTTAATAGGACAGCAAAAGTCTGGAATGCCCCATGGCCTTAACAATAGCTTGAAAGCTAGAAATAATTTGATACCATTATGGAGCATAATACACCATAAAGTACAATGTTCACTCATGCAGGATTCATTTAACTTTTTTGTTGTTGTTCCATACTCCTTGCCAAAGACCATGTTCCTTTTATGTTGATGCTCACAATATCAAGCCTTATGATTGTTCTTAAACAGATGAAGTTTGGTGTAGTGATTAAGGCATTGGACTAGAAACTGGGGAACCGTGAATTCTA